AGCAGCAGCAACAGCAGCAACAACAGCAGCAGCAGCAGCAACAACAACAGCAGCAACAACAACAACAGCAGCAGGTGGCCGCAGCAGCAGCTGCTGTTAAGATGCAGCTAGCCGGCGGCACGCCCACCTTCACATTCAGCGCTCTGCCCAACGTGACGGCGGCCACCTCGGTGCCGGTGCCGGTCCCAGTGCCGGTGTCGGCGGCTGCAGCATCCGTGGCAAATGTGAGCGCCAGCAACGTGGCAGCCGCGGCTACAGTCACCCAGCAGCAGCAGCAGCAGCAGCAGCAGCCAGGCGACAGCTACGAGGAGCGCATCAATTACTTCAAGGTGAAGGAGGCAGAGCTGCGCTGCAAGGAGCAGCAGCTGGCCACCGAGGCGAAGAAGATCGAGGTGAACAAGGCGCAGGACGAGCTCAAGTACATGCGCGAGGTGCACCGGCTGCGCGTCGAGGAGCTCAAGATGAAGATACGCATACTGGAGAAGGAGGAGGAGCAGCTGCGCAAGAACAGCACCACATGAGATCTGGAGGACATTAGCGATGCTGAGCCAGACGTCGAGTTCGATGAGCCGCCGCCGCAGCAGCAGCAGCAACACCAACAGCAACAGCAACAGCAACAACAACAGCAACAGCAATACATGGAATTGGATATGCAATTGCTGCTGTAGACGGAAGGAAACAGCAGCCAGAATTATATATATATATATATATATAGTCTACAACTTTATCGATAGCTATTTTAATGCCCGTTTTCCTCGATTAACTTAAATCTATTTTTTTTTTTTGTAATGTGAAAAGAATTATTGTTTTATGGGTGGGCGGGACGGCGGGCTGTATTCGGCTGGCCGTATTTTACGATTAGCGATTAGCGATTACGAAATACCGATTACCGATTAACACTTCAAGCGATTGCCGATTAATGTTAAGCGTTCAATTATCGATTGATCAATCGCCCTTAGCGCTAAGACAAGTCTCAAATTGTAATTGTATCTCGCATGTGAAATACAGTGAAACAAGCATAAAGCGTACCAAATCATATATGTATGTATATATAGAACTTACCAACTCTCATGTATTTGCGCTTCTTGTTGCGTGAGCCACCGCCGCCCGAGGACGATGCTGAGCCGGAAGCGGACGACGACGAGGCCGAGGAGCCGGACGAGTAGCCACCGTTAGCCAGATCGTGGGCCGATCGCATGGGCACCTCGCCCAGAGGCTGGTAATCATCGCCGCTGATCTGCATCGGGTTCACACGCAATATGTTGCCCTCGCTCGTCTGCAAGTGGAGTGAGCGGAAAGCGAAGGGATTGGATTAATTTGTAGATCATCATATGTATATATGTGTATATCTGTTGTTGAAATGTATACATTATATATGTATATGCGTTTGTGCTACTTCTTGAACCAAGTTAAACGCTATATACTGATATATGTATCTATGTATGCTATATATCTATGTAATACCATGTTTATATAGTATTTATTACTTGTATATATCAGGGACATTCCTCCACTTCTGGAATACAATATTTTACATTTCTGATGGATCTATATCAGTCCTATATACCCTGTATCTGCAGATTGTTACAGAGCACTTCGTCTAACTCTTATATGTACATAGCTATTTTTGTATTCCTGCTTATTAGCAGTCTATCCTTGTCTGTTATGTATAGATTATCGATGTAGTGTGATATCTTAAATATGTTATGGAACTATTAATATTCACTTGTATACCCTGTACCCATCATATACATTTGTATATAGCTATTATTGTATTCCTGCAGCAGTCTTATTAGCAGTCTATCTCTGTCTGTTATATATGATCTCTCCATCCCCAGTTTCAATTATCTATATCTCACGGTATTTATTATATTTTTGATTTGTTAAATGTGCTCAATGTCAATATTATCGATAATTATCGTTGTACCTAATCGATTATTAAAAAAAATCGATAACTTTAAGCGCTATAGACATCTAATACGGTTTTTGGACTCTTATTGAGTGAAAAGAGTTACAGAATACTTCATATAGCGCTCTCGACAATTTGGTTTTAATAACATATTCCAGAATCTCTGTCTCTTTATCTCATATTTACTTTCATGACTGGGTATTCAAATGCCTAGAGGAGCTAAATATACCAATTTGCATTCAATCATATAATCATATATATCATATAATAAATCATATATATGTATGCATTGTGCAACTTCCCTATTTTGTGTAGTTTCCAAGGTCTATTTGACATACCCATCTCTCAGATGTTTTGAAAATTAGATATTTATATTAATTGATATCTAAAGTAAAGAGTTGTCATATAATCATGGCATCGATAAAAATCGATTTCGTATGAAGATTCTACTGTCCTTTATACTAAATATTTCACTATTAACTGGATAGTTATCATGAGATGTCTCATAGGCACTATGATAGGTTTATTAGATAAATAATAGAGAGATGCCCCTTAACTATATCAGCTTGTATGATCTGCTGCCCGATTTCGATTTGTCGACTCACCTCGCCGAGCTGATTGCGTGCAAAGCACTGGACGACCCCGGCATGGCGCTTCTGGACATGATGGATGAGCAGGCGTCCGTGCTCGATGAGGGTCTCGTTGTCGTTGCTGGCATCCTCGCCGTTGATCAGCCAGTAGATGTCCGGCTCGGGATGCCCGGTGGCCGCGCACTCCAGGGCCAGGGAATCGCCCTCGTTGGTCAGGGTCGGATCGGGGCCGCGCAAGATGCGCGGTCGCTCGAGCACACTGAGCTTGATCATGTGGACGAGGACGGGCGCAATGCCGTTGTCCAGGCGACACACATAGGAGCCCTGATCCTCGGGCCGGATGTCCGTGATCTGCAGTCCGTAGGCGAGCACCCGACTCCGGTTGTGGTAGATGTTGGGCACATTCGGACTGCTCCAGACGGCGCCGGGCCGCGGCGAACCGACGCCCGGGCACTCCAGGACAACCGTCTCGCCGGGCCGAGCGGCCACCTGCGTGGCCGGCTGCTGGAGCAGGAAATACGGCGGAGTACGGTCCGTATAGTCGACGCGCAGGTCGATCACCTGCGGCAGCCGCAGCTCCTCGCCGGTGATGGCATTCGTCGCCGCGCAGGTGTAGTTGCCCGCGTCCTTGGCACTGACCGAGTTGAGGACCAGCGCGCCGGCGGCGCCCGGCAGCAGCTCCGTCTGCGGCAGCTTCTCGCCGTTCCGGTAGAAGCTCCAGATGGCCGGCGGACTGGAGCTGACCGAGCCGCAGCGCAGCAGCACACAGTTCTTGGGCGCCACGCTCCAGCGCACCGCATGCCGGCCCACGCCCGGGCTGTCGACGGAGATGGAGACGAGCGTGAGGCGGGCGGGCGTCGAGGCGATCGCGCCGGGCCCATACCAGGCGACGCACTGGTAGTCGCCCAGCGTCTGGGCGTTCACATAGATGCGCAGCTTCCAGGTGCGCTCCTCGTTGCTGCTGGTCACATTGTACCCGGCAGCCGGCCGCAGGTAGCGGTACGGCTCGCTGCTGCTCGGCCGGAAGCGCCACTCCAAGCGATCCGGCTGCAGGTTCAGCTCACACTCGAACACCACCTCGTCCCCATTGGGCGCGATCGCCGACTCGGGTGCCCGTTCGATGTAAACGCCGAGCATGTTGCTCGAGTTGTTGTTGTTGTTGTTGTTGTTGTTGTTGCTGTTGCTGCAGCTACAACTGGCTATGAGGTAGCTGAGCACCGCCAGCAGCAGCAGCGGCAGCCGCGGCACAGAGGTGATCCGTCGACACATCTCTGCTCCACAAGGAGAGAGAGAGAGAGAGAGGAGGGGAGGGTGGGTGCAAGGGATAGATTGGGAAATCTGAAAGAAAAGAAAGTTGATTTAGTACAAGAACAGATATATATATGTATATAAATATAAATATAGATATAGATATAGATATAGATATAGATATAGATATAGATATAGA